CACCCCCAGCCCCCTCAGAGCTCCCCCAGCCCCCTCAGTGCCCTCAGAGCCCCCTGAGAGCCCCCTCAGTGCCCCCAACACCGCCCCAAGGGCTAAGCGTGCCCTCACGCAGGGCTCCCTCAGCGCCCTCAGCCCCCTCAGCGCCCCCAGCCCCCTCAGAGACCCTCAGCCCCCTCAGAGCCTCCTCAGCGCCCCGCTCCCCCCTCTCCCGGCTGTGCCCGTGGGTGTGGGGCGCGTTCCCGGGGCCGGGTGCCGGGGGGCTGTGGGTGGGCGGCCCCCCCGTACTCACACCTCCAGGATGCGGTCCCCCTTGCGCACCCCGGCGCGGTCGGCGGCCCCTCCGCCCAGCACGGCGCTGACGTGCTGCAGCGGCGCGTACAGCTCGCCGTTGATGCTGCGCAGCTGCCCGCCTTCGCTCACTTGCCCGCGGACGTTAAAGCCATAACCAGACTCGGACTTGACGATGCGGACGACGCGGGGCCCGCCCGGGGGTCCCTCCCCGGCCCCGTTCCGCGCCCCCGGCCGCGCTTCGCCCTCCTCGTCCGCCATCTTGGCCTCCGCGCACGGCGCGCGTCACGAGACCGGACCCGCCCCGGCCGCCGTAGGGACACACCCCCCATCGCCAGCGCCGCGGGGTGCGAAGGGAAATGGAGTCCAAGGAGCTGCCGAGCGCCGTTAGCGCGCACGGGGCGCGAGGGCTGATGGGTAATGTAGTCGGAGAGGCGGGGAGAGTGCGGCGCATGCGCCATGGGCGTGGGAATTGGGGGTGTTGCCATGGGAACGGGGCTGTTGTCATGGGAAGTAGGGGGTGTTGCCATGGAAACCGAGGGGCTGTTACCATGGCAATGGGGAGTGGGTGGGCATGGGGACGGGGCTTATGGCTGCCATGGGCTTGGGGGGCTGTTACCATGGCAATGGGGGGGATGTAGGCATGGGAACGGGAAGGGGGTGTTGCCATGGGAACGGAAGGATGCTGTTCCTGGGGGGCTGAGGGAATGGGGACAGGCGGTTGCTGACACAAAAACGGGGGACCACGGAAATGGGATGCTGGGATGCTCTGGGTGCGGGTATGAGTTGCCACAGAAACGGGGGCGCTGTTTCCCTGGGAACCGGAAGGGGGCGCTGTTTGCAGCGGGGCTGTGTGGTGACGTCACTTGCGTGACGTCAGCACCTGGTTGGGGATGGGGGTCAGGGCCAGGTTTGGGGGGTCCCTGGGGCTCATTGCCAGGCCTGGCTGGGCTGGGGGTCTCAGCGATCCACGGGCGTCGCCACCAGGACCGGGGCGGGGCATCAGGTTCTGGGGGTCCACGTGTGCCATCAGCAGGGACCTCAGTGGTCCTGGGGGTCCAAGAGACTCAAGGTCATTCCCGGGGGGGGCGGGGGTTTGGGGGGTCCACAGACAACACCAGCAGGGGCCCAGGGCTCAGGGGGCTCAGGGGTCTCACTGCCAGGACCAAGGGGTTCATAGGGATCAGGAGCCCGACAGAGCTGAACAAACACCATTTCTACCGCTTTAACCAAAAAGCTGCATTTTGCTGCCGGTCCTGGGCTCCCCTGGCACTGGTGGGGAGCCAGGGCTGTACTGGGAGCACTGGGAGGGGGATTGCAGAGCCACAGGGCTACTGGGGACGGATCGAATGGGAAACACCTGGGTACACTGGGAGCAATGGAGAGGCACTGGGAGGAGAATCAGGGAGCCCCTGGGGGTACCTGGATGTGGAATGGGGCAGTGGGAAAGGGGTGGGGAAGCCCTTGGGGGGTCAGGGAGCGTGGGGAACCTCACGGGTGACCCCCCCACTTGTGCCCGCCTCCCCGTGAATGTTGGGCACCCCACAGCAGTGGGGAGGGGGACACTGACGTGGGTGGGGGGTCCCCCGCTGCCCCCCAGTTCCCCCAGAGCTGTCACAGCACGTCCCCGTCGATGTCACCGCGTTCCCGGGGTCGCCCGTGGGGTCGCCGCAGCTCCGCGTAGATCACCCGGGGGTCCTGGAGCGTGGGGGCGCGGGGGGAGCCTGCGAGAGCCCCCGGCTGTGGGCTCCGGGTGGGGGCGGCAGCGATGGGTGACATGTCCCGGTGTCCCAGCCCCGTGTCACCCCCTGGGCGCTGGGTGCTCACCACGCGGCTGTACAGCACCTCCCCCTCCTCCGGGGGGGCCGGGGGGGCCCTGCGGGGATCCAGGGGGTGTGAGGGAGCTTTGGGGGTGAAAGGGGAGGGGGTGGTTTGAGCCCCCCGCTCACCTCTCCTGCTGCTTCCTGGCAGCTGCAAAGGCAAGAGGGGAGGGGTAACTGAGGGCTCCCGGGGGTCCCTCAGGGGTCCTGCAACCCCACTGGACCCCACATTTCTCCCTGAGCATCCCTGATGCCCCCCAGGACCCCTGAACCACCCCAGTGCTCCGGACCCCCCGAGCCCCCTGAAGGCCACCCCTGGCCTCCAAAATCCCCCAGGATCACCGAAAGAAGCCCCCAAACCCCAGCGAGACCCCCCAACACCTCCCCAAATCCTTGAGAACGCGGAGCAAAGGTGCTGAGCGCTCAGCGCTGCCCAAATCAGGGGCTGTGGGTGCTGCCCCATCACCCCCACGTCCGAGGTGGCCTCGCAGCTCCCCAGGACCCCCGTTGTCCCCATTGTCACCCACCCACGTTGTTCCACCGGCGCCAGCCCGCAGCTACAGCCAGGAGCAGGAGCAGGAGGAGCAGGGACCCCCCAACCGCTGCGGCCACTGCCGGGGACAAAGGGGACACTTTGGGGCCACCCGGGGGTGCTGCACCCCCACAGCGACCCCGAGTGATGCCAGCCGTGCCCTGTCACCTCCGCTGTCACCTCCAGGGACAAACGCGGCTGTCCCGGAGCCCCAAAATGACCCCGAGTGACGTCACCTGTGTCCCCGTGTCCCCCCGCTGTCACCTCCAGGGACAAACGCGGCTGTCCCGGAGCCCCAGAGTGTCCCCGAGTGACGTCACCTGTGTCGCCGTGTCCCCCCGCTGTCACCTCCAGGAGCAGCTCGGGGCTGAGTGCCCGGAACACGCGGTGCCCGTCCTGTCCCAGCTGGTTGGTGGCCACGCACTGGTAGGTGCCCGAATGTGCCAGCCCGACGTGGGCGAGCTCCAGCAGGGGACCCCGGGCCACCTCCCGGCCGTGGCGCAGCCAGGTGAAGGTGACAGGGGCTGAGCCCACCTGCACCGAGCAGCGCAGCCTCACGGGCTCACCTGCGCGCACCTGCTGGCCCAGGGCACCGGGGCTGATGGTGGCATTGGCCACGGGCACTGCGGGGACACGCACGGGGCTGAGGCCAGCGGGAGGGGCGGGGGGCGCGGGGAGATGGGCACGGGGGGTGAGGGGGTGATGGGGGATGGCGTGGGTGGGGGTCCGCACCCAGAGAGAGGAGGGGGTGCGGACCCCCACCCACGACAGGGCAGGGGAGAGGGGACCAAGGAAAGGTTTCTGGGGAGGGATGGGGGGACCCAGGCAGGTCTGGGGGAGCCGGGATGGGATTCGGGGACACGGGGTGGGATCCGGGAACGGAGCAGGAGATCCGGGCGGGGATGGGGGAACCCGAGAAAGGAATCGGGAGGGGATGGGGACACCAAGTCAGGGCTGGGGGACACGGGGCGGGAAGGGGAGACCCGGGAATCACGTCAGCGAGGGCTGGGGGTCCGCAGACAGTGCTGGGGGTCCCCGGGCAGGGCAGGGGGAGCCGTGCAGGCTGTGGGGGCTCCCCGCGCCCATCCCCGCACTCACCGAGCACCGTGACGCGGAGCGGGGCGCTGCTCTTCCGCACGGCCCCCCCCTGGCTCTGCACCTCGCAGCTGTAATTCCCCGAGCCGGAGACCCCCAGGGCGGGCAGCAGCAGCTGCGGGGACCCCTGCGGGCCCCCCAGCTCCCGCCCGTCCCGGTAGAAGCGGTGCACGAGGGGGGTGAGGGGCCGCAGGGGGCTGCGGCTGCTGAGGCAGCTGAGCTTCAGGGGGGACCCCGCGATCAGCTCGGCCGGAGCCTCCAGCACCGGCACCGGGAAGAGCTCTGGCAAGGAGAGGGGAGGGGGATTTGTGAGCCCTGGGGAGGGGCTCTGGGGGTGTCGGGCTGGCGGCTGTGGGGTGCTCACCGTGCACTGTCACTGACACCGGCTCTGACTGCACCCACCATGAGGACCAGGAACTCCACCGGGTCCGGCAGCGGTAGCGGCCGCTGTGCTGCAGCCTCAGAGGGGACAGGGACGTCCGGGACAGGAACTCCCACCGGGATTCACCCAAATCATTCTCCTCGTGGTAGAACCACACCCCGGTGACCGGGTCGTCCCACCTGCTCCGGCAGCGCAGTGTCACCGTGTCCCCCTCCAGCAGCGGCCCCGCCGGCACCTGCAGCACCAGGAGCTCTGGGGGACAGGAGGGTCCTGTCACAGCCGATGGCACCGGGACCCCCCAATGGGTCACAGCCAGCGCACCCGGGGTCCCCAATCCCAGCACGGGGGTCCCCTCGCTCTGCGATGCTCTGGGATGTCCCCAGAGCAGGGCACGGGCTCTGCTCACACCAGGGCTGACCCAGCTGCCCCCCCAGAGCTCTCGGGGTCCCCGCGGCTGCCGGGCTGGGGACACCCAAACCCCGCTCACCGTCTGAGACGGTCACGGGGGGGCTGCGCCCGGTGCCGGCTCTGTCACACTGGTAGGTGCCACTCTCGGTGACAGTGAAGCTCTCGGGTCCCTTCTGTCGCCATCGCCGCCCGTCCTTGTACCAGGTGGTGTCCCCGGCGGTCCCCGAGCCCCGGCAGGTCAGTGTCACCCGGTCCCACAGCACCGCCGGCCTCCAGGGGGGCTCCACGAGGAGCTGCGGGCTCGGGGCACCTGCGGGTGACAGGGGACAGCAGCGTGCCAGGGCCAGCGCGGGGCTGGGGACAGCGGCGCGGGGACACGGCATCCCCCGAGGACTCACCAGCGAGGCCGAGGCTCTGGGCTGCAAGGGACAAGGGACACGGCTGGCTGGCGGTGGCAGCGCGGGGACAGCGGCAGCGGGAGCCGGGCTCTGGGGCTGGCCCCGAGCTGGCCCCGTGGCGACACCGCTGGGGCACCGAGCCCTCGGCGACGGGGACAGCGCGGCCAGCCCGGGCCCAGGCAGGACATGGGGACACCGGGGACCTCCCGGCCATGGGGACAGCGCGGACACCCCGTGCTGCCACAGGGTGTCCCTGTGTCCCTGTCCCCTTGTCCCTGTGTCCCTGTGTCCCCATGTCCCTGTGTCCCCGTGTCCCTGTGTCCCTGTGTCCCCATGTCCCTGTGTCCCTGTGTCCCCACAGCTGCCCCAGCCCCAAGGTGCCAAACCCCTCATTCCTGTCCCTCCTGTCCTGTCCCCTCTCCTGTCCCCACGGCCACCCCACGGCCCCGCTCACCTCTTGCTCTGCCTCTGCTGCACTTGGCGACCTCAGGGGACCCCGCAGCCCCCCTGGGCCCCCTCCCCACCGCTCTCTGCCCCACCCCGGCCCATCCCCGGCCCACTCACCCCACAAGAGCAGCGCCACCCTCGCGGCCATGCCGCTGTCCCCGGCCACCCGGGCTGCCTGTCACTCGCTGCCACGGCCACCTGTGCCCTGCCTGGCGGCTCCTGGGCCGAAGAGGAAGGAAGCGCGGTCAGCTCTCGTCCCCACGTGGGGCTGGGACAGGGTGGGGGCAGGGTGGAGACAGGGTTGGGGACACAGTTGGGGACCTGGAGGGGCTCGCTGGGACATGGGGGTCGCAGGGCTCGGGGGCTCCAGGGATGTGGAGAGCTAAGGAGGGATTTCCAGGGAGGCTCCCGGGGATCCTGAGGAATCGGGGTCCCCATGGGTGGAGAGGATCACGGATGGGGGTCCCAGGGGAATTTGGGCTGCAGGGATTTGGGGATTTGAGGCAGGTCCCGGAAATGGGGGGTCCTGGGGAGCCCATGGGATGGGATTAAGGGGAGGGAAGTGCTGGGCTGTGGGAAACCGACATCCGGGGATGGGGGTCCCCAGGAGAGAGAATGAGATGCCAGGGCTGGGGTCCCGGGGGAATGGGGGTCTCGGGGTGGGCAGTGCCTGGGTAGACACGGGGGTCGCAGCTCCATCCCCGGCTGCCTCAGATTTCGGGGTGAGGCTGACAAAAGCAGAACCTCCATAGTGTTGGTGGTCTGGGGACAGCACCAGGGTGCTGCAGGGTGTGCTCCGGGTCTGGGACTTTCTCCTCTCTTTATTTCTATTTGCTCTTATTTTCCTCACTTTTGTAAACTCCCCATCCCAGTTCCTGGCTCATCGGTGCCCAGGAGCACCTGAGCAGGAAAGGGCTTGAGAGAACCCTGGGATGGGGGGAAGGGGCGTGGGGAGGCTTTGGGGGATGGAGGTGTCGGGCTGTGCCCTCCAACACTTCCACTTTTGTTTTTCCTGGACAAAAAGGAAGAGGTTTGTGCTGAGAGTCGGATGGGAAAGGGGGGCGGGTTCTGCCCTATGGAGGAAAACCAGGAGGGTCCTGTCCTGGCAGCTCCGTGTCAGGGGGTGACAAATCCTGGGGGGGGTCCTGTCCTGGGGGTGACACATCCTGGCCGGGGGTGGTCCTGGGGATGGAGGTTCCAGAAGGGTCCAGGGGTGGCACATCCTGGGGACCACTGTAAATCCAAGTGTGGGGCTCAGCCGTGCCCCAGCCCCACTGCACAGGGACGGGCCCTGGGCCAGCACCTGAGGCTGCCCCCCGCCCCCTTGGCTTTGCTTCTCGCAGCTTTAGCGCTGCTGCAGAGGTGACAATTCTGCGGGGGAATGCTTTGTGGTTTGCTCAGCCTGCGAGAAGCGCAAAGGCAAAGCGAGCCCGAGCAGAGGCTCTGCCGGGGCTGGGATGGTTTGCAGAGCGGGGCTGGCTGCAAACCCCCCTGCAGGGGCAGCTGCGAGGGAAGCAGCGCGGAAATGCAGCCCTTGAGCGTTTTGTCCGTGTGGCCGAGGGGCTGAGAGAGCCCCCCAAGTGCTGCAAAGCCCCCAGGGATCTGCTCCAGAGCCTGAGCGGGACCCTCCTCCTGGAACAGAACCTGCAGCCCTTTGCGAGCTGCCGGGAAGAACGTTTGGGATCGGGCTGTGGGCACCGGCACCGAGGGAAAAGTGGGGCAATGTCGAGCAGGGGCTGCACACGGGGATCTGGGGAGCAGGGGAGTCCCAGCAGGAGCAGGGAGTGCCCAGGCACGGGAATTCAGGGCAGGGTGCAGGGGATTTACCAGGCAATCCAAACCTGAGGGACACACGGGCATTTCTGGAGATTCCTGGGCGCTGTTCCGAGCATGGACAGAGTTTCCTCTCCTTGTGGGAGCAGGATCCATGGGAAGTAAGCGAAGTTTCAGGGTGGGAATGAGAAAAACGGGGAGAGTTCCTAAATATGGGCCATGAAAAGCTTTCCTTAGGGGCTGGGGGGCTGCTGAGCAGGCAGGGAACAATCCCATGGAGCTGAGGGACAGCCAGGGAGAAAGGCCAGGGCTGGGTGGGGCAGAGCCCCAGAGCCTCTCAGGACAATTCTGGGGGTCCCCTGGCCATGAAGGCACGGTGGGGGCTGGGCAGGGCTCCGGGTCACCCCAAAATCTGAGGCAGGCAGGGAAGGAGCTGAGAGCCCCGCGCCCCCCCAGCCCCCATTGCCCCGGGACCCCAACCATGGGAGCCCCATTCCCTTGGTCTCTCCTCCCTGGGGACCCCCATCCCGGCACTCCCGTTGCCCAGGACCTCCATGGCCTTGATCCCGTCCCGGGGGCTGCTCCTTCCCGCACAACCCCAATTCCCGAGGCTTCCCTTTTCCCCCTGCAGCCCCAAGCCTGCAACTCACATCCCATCACCCAAAATCCCTGGGGACCACAGGACCCCCATCCCTGAATGCCCCAGGCACCGAGACCCCAATTGCCCTGGTCCCCCGTCCTCGCTTCCCCCCATGCCCTGAGCCCCCCACTCCTGGGAACGCCACCCCCACCACGTCCCCAGGCTGTCCTGTAATGTCCCCAGCTTGTCCCCCAATGTGTGTGCACATTGTCCCCACCCTGTCCCCACCCTGCCCCAGCCCCACGTGGGGACGAGAGCTGACCGCGCTTCCTTCCTCTTCGGCCCAGGAGCCGCCAGGCAGGGCACAGGTGGCCGTGGCAGCGAGTGACAGGCAGCCCGGGTGGCCGGGGACAGCGGCATGGCCGCGAGGGTGGCGCTGCTCCTGTGGGGTGAGTGGGCCGGGGATGGGCCGGGGTGGGGCAGAGAGCGGTGGGGAGGGGGCCCAGGGGGGCTGCGGGGTCCCCTGAGGTCGCCAAGTGCAGCAGAGGCAGAGCAAGAGGTGAGCGGGGCCGTGGGGTGGCCGTGGGGACAGGAGAGGGGACAGGAGAGGGGACAGGAGAGGAGGGACAGGAATGAGGGGTTTGGCACCTTGGGGCTGGGGCAGCTGTGGGGACAGGGACATGGGGACACAGGGACAAGGGGACAGGGACACAGGGACACCCTGTGGCAGCACGGGGTGTCCGCGCTGTCCCCATGGCCGGGAGGTCCCCGGTGTCCCCATGTCCTGCCTGGGCCCGGGCTGGCCGCGCTGTCCCCGTCGCCGAGGGCTCGGTGCCCCAGCGGTGTCGCCACGGGGCCAGCTCGGGGCCAGCCCCAGAGCCCGGCTCCCGCTGCCGCTGTCCCCGCGCTGCCACCGCCAGCCAGCCGTGTCCCTTGTCCCTTGCAGCCCAGAGCCTCGGCCTCGCTGGTGAGTCCTCGGGGGATGCCGTGTCCCCGCGCCGCTGTCCCCAGCCCCGCGCTGGCCCTGGCACGCTGCTGTCCCCTGTCACCCGCAGGTGCCCCGAGCCCGCAGCTCCTCGTGGAGCCCCCCTGGAGGCCGGCGGTGCTGTGGGACCGGGTGACACTGACCTGCCGGGGCTCGGGGACCGCCGGGGACACCACCTGGTACAAGGACGGGCGGCGATGGCGACAGAAGGGACCCGAGAGCTTCACTGTCACCGAGAGTGGCACCTACCAGTGTGACAGAGCCGGCACCGGGCGCAGCCCCCCCGTGACCGTCTCAGACGGTGAGCGGGGTTTGGGTGTCCCCAGCCCGGCAGCCGCGGGGACCCCGAGAGCTCTGGGGGGGCAGCTGGGTCAGCCCTGGTGTGAGCAGAGCCCGTGCCCTGCTCTGGGGACATCCCAGAGCATCGCAGAGCGAGGGGACCCCCGTGCTGGGATTGGGGACCCCGGGTGCGCTGGCTGTGACCCATTGGGGGGTCCCGGTGCCATCGGCTGTGACAGGACCCTCCTGTCCCCCAGAGCTCCTGGTGCTGCAGGTGCCGGCGGGGCCGCTGCTGGAGGGGGACACGGTGACACTGCGCTGCCGGAGCAGGTGGGACGACCCGGTCACCGGGGTGTGGTTCTACCACGAGGAGAAGGATTTGGGTGAATCCCGGTGGGAGTTCCTGTCCCGGACGTCCCTGTCCCCTCTGAGGCTGCAGCACAGCGGCCGCTACCGCTGCCAGACCCGGTGGAGTTCCTGGTCCTCATGGTGGGTGCAGTCAGAGCCGGTGTCAGTGACAGTGCACGGTGAGCACCCCGCAGCCGCCAGCCCGACACCCCCAGAGCCCCTCCCCAGGGCTCACAAATCCCCCTCCCCTCTCCTTGCCAGAGCTCTTCCCGGTGCCGGTGCTGGAGGCTCCGGCCGAGCTGATCGCGGGGTCCCCCCTGAAGCTCAGCTGCCTCAGCAGCCGCAGCCCCCTGCGGCCCCTCACCCCCCTCGTGCACCGCTTCTACCGGGACGGGCGGGAGCTGGGGGGCCCGCAGGGGTCCCCGCAGCTGCTGCTGCCCGCCCTGGGGGTCTCCGGCTCGGGGAATTACAGCTGCGAGGTGCAGAGCCAGGGGGGGGCCGTGCGGAAGAGCAGCGCCCCGCTCCGCGTCACGGTGCTCGGTGAGTGCGGGGATGGGCGCGGGGAGCCCCCACAGCCTGCACGGCTCCCCCTGCCCTGCCCGGGGACCCCCAGCACTGTCTGCGGACCCCCAGCCCTCGCTGACGTGATTCCCGGGTCTCCCCTTCCCGCCCCGTGTCCCCCAGCCCTGACTTGGTGTCCCCATCCCCTCCCGATTCCTTTCTCGGGTTCCCCCATCCCCGCCCGGATCTCCTGCTCCGTTCCCGGATCCCACCCCGTGTCCCCGAATCCCATCCCGGCTCCCCCAGACCTGCCTGGGTCCCCCCATCCCTCCCCAGAAACCTTTCCTTGGTCCCCTCTCCCCTGCCCTGTCGTGGGTGGGGGTCCGCACCCCCTCCTCTCTCTGGGTGCGGACCCCCACCCACGCCATCCCCCATCACCCCCTCACCCCCCGTGCCCATCTCCCCGCGCCCCCCGCCCCTCCCGCTGGCCTCAGCCCCGTGCGTGTCCCCGCAGTGCCCGTGGCCAATGCCACCATCAGCCCCGGTGCCCTGGGCCAGCAGGTGCGCGCAGGTGAGCCCGTGAGGCTGCGCTGCTCGGTGCAGGTGGGCTCAGCCCCTGTCACCTTCACCTGGCTGCGCCACGGCCGGGAGGTGGCCCGGGGTCCCCTGCTGGAGCTCGCCCACGTCGGGCTGGCACATTCGGGCACCTACCAGTGCGTGGCCACCAACCAGCTGGGACAGGACGGGCACCGCGTGTTCCGGGCACTCAGCCCCGAGCTGCTCCTGGAGGTGACAGCGGGGGGACACGGCGACACAGGTGACGTCACTCGGGGACACTCTGGGGCTCCGGGACAGCCGCGTTTGTCCCTGGAGGTGACAGCGGGGGGACACGGGGACACCGGTGGGTTCCTGGGGGCTCCGAGAGCCCTGGCTCCAGCCCCGCTCTGTCCCTGGCAGCGACACGAGTGGAGCGGGGCACGGGAGGGGAACTCGTGATGTCGCTGGGGGTGCAGAAGCTCGGGCTGAGCCCGCTTTGTCCCCTCTGTTTCCTACAGTGGCTGCAGCGCTCGGGGGCTCCCTGTTGTTTCTGCTCCTGCTCACGACTGTCATCGTGGCCTTTCTCCGCACGGGTGGGTGACCGTGGGGGTCCTGCAGAGTGGGGGGGAGGCCCCCAGAGAAGGGTGGCCGCAGGGCAGCAGCCACAGCCCCCGAGTGGAGAGGGGCCGAGCCCCCGCTGGCCTCGGCTCAGCGGCCTGGGCTGGCCGGGGAGGGGCTGGGGGCTCGTGCCGGGATCTTGGGGGCTCTCTCAGGGATCTTGGGGGCTGTCTCAGGGATCTTGGGGGCTCGTGCCGGGATCTTGGGGGCTGTCTCGGGGATCTTGGGGGCT